TTGGTCGGTTGAACTGTAAACAAGAACCATTTATTGTGTTGGCGTACAACTGTTTGTATTAAACAAATGTTTAATAATAATAATAATAATTGATTTTGTGGGCGGCTGTTGAATTGAATGGACCAGAAGAAAACAAGAATATGAAAGGGGGAGGAAGTCAAAAGGGGTTGCGAGTCACGTTTTGCGATTTGGCTGGGAAATTGCAAAGAAATAGTTTGTTGAAAGCTTTTTTGACTGGTAAAGAGGACGTGTTTTTTCTAATTAATACTAACCCACGTGAAAATTATGTTCTTAAATTCTAGTGCCAAACAGTCGGGTTCGCAGTATTTAAGGATTCGCAGTAGAATATATAAGATTTTTAGTTCTTTTATTTTAGTTATTATTTATTACATTTTATAATCTCAGTAGTTATTGAAAGTGAAAAATGACTTGGTACTTCTAGATCAACTTGGTGACTTTTTGGATTGATTTGATTTGAAGACACAGAAAATAATGAATCTAGTCTAGACACCATTGGCGAAGTACGAGGTGCAAAGGTAAAAGATTCCTAGATGTGTGATTTAGCTCCCGTTTGATGCACATTTTGAAGGTAAGAATGCATTTTTACTGTTGATGTGATGGAGAATATGTGATTGAAAAAGAATGAAAAATTATTGATGTGTTGAAAAATTTTATTTTATTGAAAAATATGTGGTTGAAAATGAGTAAAAGAATGAGAATAAAAAAAATAATGTGGACCAAATAGGACCTTAACGAGATCGAAATAAAAAATAGATAAATATGATAAAAAGAATCAGTATGATATAAGTAAAAAGATGTTGATATTGCCTTAATCAAATCAATCATGTGTAATCGGGGCAAGCTCGATGTAATCTAAATGCGACTTTTACTTCCAACCTAGTTTGACAAGGTCAAAAGATTAGTGAGATCAGAATCGATGCTCGATCGTTCCAAACTAATATTAGGTTCGGTCCAGACTACATATGGCCTTCCTATTTCTGGTGACGTATCTATCCTCGATGTCAGAGCGTTTCACCTCACCATATTTTGTGTGTAACAACAAATATGTTCTAGTCAGATGTCTCGTTGAATTCTGAGTGGACTATCTTTTTAATTTATACAATTGTGTTCTTTTCTCAAATGCGCTTTCAAGAATTCTATTATTGTTAGATATGATTTTACTATAATGGTTAGAGAATATATTTTGTTTGGTTAGATGAATGCTACTATATTTTGATGAAGGCACATGGCCTTGACTCTGGCAGACGGGGGCTTTCAAAAACATCTTCAAATTTGGTACGTCTCCCATAGTTGGGTGAACTTTCAAATCTTTAATTGTGTTAATTAAACAAATTGAAGGATTATAAAAATAGTATAAAAGTAAACTATCGCTATCCAAATAACATTGTATTAAATAATGGAAAAATTAATGAAGCTCTTGTGAATGAAATTTCGTGTTCATTAGAAAAAGAATTTTATTATTTGTATAGACTCCTCACAATAGGGAGATCCATGATTTTTTATTGAACGTGGACCTTCCTATTGCGAGAATATTGTGTACAAATAACAAAATTCTTAGAAAAATATTAAAATAAAAAGAATAAATATTGAAGATATGAGATATTTTTAATTACCTTAGATACATGATTAATATTTGACGTGACATCTTGGATCATGTTTTTATTCCTATTGAACTTGCTCTAATTTTGAGGAAAGGTATTAAATTATTATAATTTTTTATATGTTGACTTTAAGTCTTTAACTACTGGCATAGAAATCTTGAAATAAAAGTTACTTGGTTTCGATTATTATTTCAATAATTAATATTTAATCCGCTCTTTTTGAATGGGACTTTTATTACGCGTAAGAATTCATTTTTCATAAAAAAGAAGTACGCCAACTTTAACTTTAATCTTAACTCATATTGAATGAAACTCTTTTTTTCATCTTGTGTTCAAATTAATATTCGAATATGGACTGAAACTTAGAGGGTGTTTCAACCACATTATTTTAGAAAAATGTATTTTGGAATAGTAGATTGATGGAGAATATATGGTTGAAAAAAAAAAGTTATTGATGTGATGAAAAATATTATTTTATTGGATAATGTGTGATTGAAAATGAGTAGAAAAATGAGAATAAAAATTTTAATGTGACTCAAACAGAGGCTTAATATCAATTATTAAACATGATGCAATTTTTTTAGTTTTTAAGTTTAGTATTTTATTTTATTGTATCTTCACAACCTTAATTCGTGTTCAACAAGCAAAATCTCTAATAATGGTTGACTTGACTTAGAGCTTGTTTGGGAGAGATTTTTAGGGGAAGAATTGATTTTGAATAGTGATATGATGGGAAATGTGTGGTTGAAAAAGAAGAAAATAATTATTGATGTGATGAAAAATATTATTTTATTGAAAAATGTATGGTTGAAAATGAGAATTGATTTACTGTAGAAAAATTTAATTCCTCCCAAATAAGGCCTTAGTCTGATGAGAAATCCATTACACGCGTCTTACCGTTCCATAATAAGGTGAAAAGGATCTTTAATCCTCTAAGGATCCGTTTAATTACAAATGTGGAAAATTGAAAGAAAGAAAATGAAATTTAGAGAATTGAATTATCTAAAAATTGTTTTATTGGAAATTGTAATTAATTGTGTTTGATTGGTATAATTTTTCATCTGAAAAATGTTGAAAGTTTGATGTCCGTTTGGCTTTATTTTTATGAAAATTGACCATTAAAGTGATAATTTTTTTTTTTTTTTACCATTGGATCTAGCATTTGTTCTAATTGCCAAAAAAAAAATAGCGAATATCATTCGTCTGGCTTTGTTTTGCATGGAAATTGTCAAAAAATGTGATAATTTTTTTTTAACCATTGCATCTAGAATTTGTTCCAATTGTCAAAAAAAAAAAAAAACCTGGAAAATCAAAATCCACCTAAAAGGTGGGAAATAATTTTCATCCATTTCCAAGAAAATGTGCACGTGCCTCACAAGGTGAGAAAACATTTTACATGAAAAACTTCTCCTATAAAACATCAAAAAAGTTGAAAAGTGGAAAACATTTTCTTAATTTTAGGGAAAATAACACTAATCAAACAGGGGTATGTTTCCTCTAAATGTATGGTTCATAAGGTAAAACTGTGTAAAAAATAAAATTAAACTCAAATTTTATCTATTCTACAATTCATATGGTTTATGCATATGTATATTAAGTCCAATTGTGTACAGGTTATCATAATTTGGATATTAGTTAAAAATTCAAAAATAAATTGCTTTTCTTATTTGGAGTGCAGATGAGAAAATTAATTATTATTTTGGAGTGTTTTTTTTTTTTTTTTATTGTCATTGAAAAAAGAGTGTGTAGAATATGAAAAGATTTGAGCATTTGGATTTTAATCATTTTGTATATTATCACATAGTAAATTACTAAAGTTAAGTATTAAATTTGCGATTTCTACATGATCCTATATAATCTCGAACGAGCATATTTGTATTCAATTTCAATGAAAGTATTGTATTATTAAATTAGATTAATAGGATTTAAGACTGAGTAAAAGATAAGGTGTCGATTATTTATAGGTTCCTCTATCTATATTTTATACTAATCTATGGACATATTTCTAGTCTAAATTATCTTAATTGAATAAAACTTTTTAAACAAAAAAAGTAATAGGAAACAATTATGTAGGTAGAATTCAACTTATTTTTTCGTAAGTTTTAAATGATTCTATCAAACTTTCCACAGTCCTTAACTTTTTCAATTTTTGCGAACTTTACCTTAGTCTTCAATTTGTGTCATCCACAATCGCATACCTTTCAAAAATATGCGGCTGGAGTCTAATGTATGGAACTCATCCATTTAATTGTTAGTTGATCAAAGAAGTCAATATTGACCAAATTTATTAAGGGCAAAATTGTAAATTGAATTATAAAAAACACCTCATCTTCCACTTCCCAGTTCCCACCCCCACAAATCAAAATCGCCTCTCTCCTTCTCTGACAAGCCCTACCAAAAATAGCCACCACTGCCACTTTCGACTGACATTGCCCCCATCGCCACCACAACTCCCTTCACCACCATCCGCTATTAGTGCTGGCACCACAATTTAAGTTACCATTTTGCTCTTAATAAATTTGATCAATTTCGACTTCTTTGGTCAACTAACAGACAAATGGATGATTTCCATCCATTTGGACTCCAACTGCATATTTTTGAAAGGTTTGGAACTACAGATGTCACAAATTGAAGGTTAGGGTAAATTCACAAAAATTGAAAAAGTTAGGGACCGCTACTGCAATTTTTCCAAAATTTTATTTAAAACTTGTGGGCTCGGACGAACACAACCTGGTATCATCTGACACGTGTTGGGCTTGAGTTTTGTACCTAGCCTTGATAACTTGAGATACATCTACACATTAAACACGAGCCAAGCCCAGTATGGGGTGAAGCCTAACGAGGCCCATAAAATTTTCGGCGAACTCGTTTTCATCGCAAGTGATGGTATACCGCGCCTTATAATTGGGCTTCTGTGAGCCAAACGAAACTCTTGAGACCCAAAAATAAACTATTCCACTACAAATGAAAACGGTACTGACTAGTTCTATTCGATATTGATAAACGAAAAACAAAGAATTGGGTACTCTTCAATTTATTCTAGTTTTCTTTTTATTTATTTATTTATTTATTTTTTACTTTCTAAATAATTGATAAAAATACTTATTGATAGATAATGGTATTATAATCCACTCTTACCCACTCAAGAATATTGAACAATGACTAGTTCACTCTAATTAATTCAATAACTATATAGATCCGTGTAATGAAATAGAACCATCTGTTGATTTCAATAGATACTACAAAAAAGATATAATCAATAGTAACCAAGATAGAAAAACCAACCACTAATTAATTGCTACCAAAGGGATACCCGATCCCGTGACTTGTCTAGTAAAGTGGATTTACCATATGCTGCATATCAATCAGCTTCAAATCCTACACATTATTAGCAAATTTCACTTGACCTTTGAACCCACCATTTTGCGGTGGCTTTGGTCCTCTTGGATCTCCATGTGCAGCCACTTTAGCAGTAGGGGTTCTTTTGTCGAACCCAAATTCTATGTCCACATCTTTGAAACTTGGTTTTTGCCTAGACTCCCATTCTTTAGGGCCAAGGTCATGGCCTCGGACCGGCTTGGCCTTACCACGGTGGTGCTCCACCTTGCCGCTGTGGTGCTCCTTACTACGACGGTGGTCCTTCCGGTTGCACAGCCGTCCAAACACGCAAGCAATGGCTGATACTACGAGTACCACGGCCAAGACAATGAAAACAGGTCCAAATGAACCATTGGAATTGGAAGAAGGCTGGTTTAATGTGCCACTATTAGGATACACTTGATCAACTGGCTGTGACATTTTTAGATAATTAGTTGAAAATTTGATTAAATTTCGAGTTAATTGGCTAGAGGGTTATGTTCTTTGAGTGAAAAAAAGGAGGGTTCAAGCAGAAGAGATGGAAGAGACAAGAATTTGATTTCCTGATTATGAAAACTAAGAATCAAATGGTATAAGGAGGGGTTCTTTAATTCAAAAAAGAAATGCTTTCTCTTTAATAAAGATATTCTTTATGTCCTTTACTGCTGCTCCTTTGAACATCAATACCCATGCAAGAGCTCCATGGTGGAGTTTTACTTTATAGTGCAAATGTTTGAATGACATGACCTATGGTGTAAATTTCGGCTGGGTCGTCTAGCTAGGATCAAGGAAGTCTGACACTTAGAGGACTCGGGCGTTTATTCATATGCCATGTTAGGCTATAAAAAGACTTTAGTGATTGATCACTTAATTTAACATGCACTACAATTTGACCCACTTTACACCTCTATTTATGGAATGTGTATACATAAACGCACATGCTAATAAGAGCATGAACGTCTTGCGATGTAAATTCTCATAGTTAAAATCACAAAACGGATTCTTTTTGTGGTACTATTAGAATGTGTGAGTGTGAACAATGCGTGGTAGGTATAGGTATTAGAAAAATTATCACCAGTTCACAATAAGAAAAGCCTAATTTGTGATTTACCTTGCATGATTTGGATCTATATGTTTTGCTTTTAGCAGAAAAGAGTCCTCTTTAAGGTGCATGTAGGGTTTGATGTTGTCCAATGATTAGCCAATAAATATTTATTTATAGAAACTTTTATTTGTTTATTACATCGCCCCATCTAATTGTGTATAAATAAGACTAGTTCAATTTTGGCCACTAAAAAGAGCTTCTAGCTCATGGTTATTTAATAATATGGTGCTAGGGAGGACCTTTACTTTCTAGTGCAATTGTTTGATTGACGTGCTCTGCTCTTACGGTGCAAAATTGGGTTGAGTTGTCTAGGATTAGGGGTGTTAAGCGTCTTTGCTTGAATTTGAATTTGTAAATTTTTCTTCTTCTTCTTTTCTTTTCAAAAATAAAGAGATGACACATTGATTTAAAAATAAAAAATTGACGAACAAGCGAGCAGCTCGTGAGCTGAGCCAGGGGCTTTGAAAATGAGCCAGCTTGTGCTCCACTTGCCTCACATATGAGCTTGAGCTATCTTGAGTAGTAGACCATGTTGAACTCGATTATGGACAAGTTGAGTGGCCCAACTCGTCCTACTTAATAGCGTTTCACACTTTGAGTGAGGGCTTGGGTCATGGGTCTATTTTACATTTTGAAAGTAAGTAAAATATAGGGGGAAGACATAAAATAGCCCATTTAACACTAGATATCCTGTATCCATAGGTCAGGTTAGTCTACACATGTTTTGATACTTGATTCGCTTTACATTTCTTCTTAATTCAATCCGTGTATAGAAGCGTTACAATTTGAAATACTTTATACTTACAATAATGCTAAGTGTACACAATCTT